AGAGAGAGAGAGAGGGAGGGAGGGAGAGAGAGAGAGAGAGGGAGGCTGAGACCTTGACAAGTGTGTACCTTAGCACTGGGCACATGGAAAAAACAATTTCCCCTGAGAATTCATAATCACCAATAGTCCTCAATTAGGTTAGTAGCTGGAATTTACGTTATTGTGTAGTCTAAAGAATTTGAAGCACAGAACTTAATTTAAGTCCTAGGTTAGTGGCACCTCTAGAGTGGTATTTACCTGCTGATGGAAATAATTCATGACATAGGTAAAAACTAAGTGGCAGGAGGGAAAGATGATAAACTGAGAATATGAAAGAAGGTGACTAAGGGAAGATGGAAATAGGGTAAGACACATGGGAGATCTGAGGATAGAGAAAAGAATACTGCTGTCTCAGAGAATAGGAAAATGTCCCTAATAAGAAAATATAGCAGGATTATCAACATTCACTACCCATGGTAGACTTTTTTTTTTTTTTATCTGACTGAAATCAACAATTATAAATAGATCTCTCTCCACGGTTACAGCTGACCATTTTGGGCTCATCATATTGAGAACACAATTTGGAATATTTTTCTTAAAGACATTTCCTTAAATTTGTTCTTAATGAAGTTTATCTGATACTTCTCACTCTCACAATCTCGTAAAATTTTATTGTGGTTAATATACATATACTGAAGACAGACGGACAAAGAAACAGGTAGTCAAGAGAGAAAAAAAAAAGAGAGATGAATGGTTAGAAAGAGGAGTATACCCAGAAATACACAGGAGAGAGACTCATCAACCAAGAGGTGGGGAAGGGGAGAACAAAGAAAAGGAGACTCAGCAGGTGGTATTGTGGCACCCAAAAAGGCGCAATTGAACAAAACTATCAGAGCCTAATATGTGCAGATCTCTTAGACAGTATTATGGGTGGTTTTATGTCCTCTCTTTCATTATCTCCTTTTTCTATAATGTGCAAATATTGTTTGTTTAAAATAATAATAATAAAGCAACTAAGGCTAACTTCTCAAAAATTTAAGTTATTTCTTTTTTAGACTTATTTTACTTTCTCTATTAATTTTTAATAAGCTATCAAAAATAAAAGTTCTTAAGAAGTAATAAATGAAGATAGCAACTAATGTATAAATTTTACAGATAACCTAATTTTCATTAGCTCAGTAGTGCATGACATTACAAACACATAAATAGATACTTATTAACTGGGAATTCATCAAGATTTTAAAGCTTCATTAGGTTGAGATGACATTAGCATTAAAGATAAATCGGCAACATTATTTTTCAGTCTTAATATACATTTTTCTCATTCTCACAACTAAGCATCGGTATGTATCTACATATAGTATCATTCAAAAGTTGCATTCCTTTGTAAGAAAGGTTTACGAGAACTTTTCCTACTAAAGTTTAAATTATCAGTCGTTACTCCAAATATTTGCTATTTCCCCTAAATAACGTTGAATTTTATTACCAAATTATTATTTTCATACCTCTGAAGAGCTTTCATTATTGACATCCACCGTGTTAATAGGAGCTGCTGATGAATCCAAATCAGAACCTTGAGAGCCAACTCTCCCAGGAGTCTGAAATATAAACAAATGGGGGAGGGGGGAAATCAAAGCAGATGTTAACAATATATTCATAAACTATTTAATAATAATCAGGTCGACCTGACACATAAGAAAAGTAGATGTCTTCTCAATAATAATAACAAACAGTACTGGCAGCTAGCTATCCTTTATTGAAAACTGTACCTAATACTGTATCAAGATTTCTATATGCATTATCTCATTTTCAGTCTTTTTAAGTTAATAAAAATTTTACTTTTATATAGTGTTTTATATTTTCAACTCACTTTCACAGAATATCTTATTTAATCATAATGACATCTCTGTGAGAGGCAAGACATATGTTATCTGTATATATGAAAAGACAGATTCAAAGCAGCTAAAGACATCTCAAGATCGTACTGAACAAAAATCACAAAGAAGCAGAACTAAAATGTTGATCTCCTAAGTCCTCCTGCATTACCCTCTTTACTACACCAACTGAACTACAGTGATTTGAGAGGTGCTAAAAAGACCAACACAGTCCATATTATCTAATCACCATCCATCTGCCATCCATGGCAACCATTACCAATCTGTTTCCAATACTTGATAGATATTCCATCACCAAAGATATATTTTGGAGGGTTAAAAGTCTTTTTTTCCCCTGCAACATTTATCATCTAATATTATCATTCATTAATATCTAGGAATTACCTTAAAGGAATTGGAAATCTAATAAAACACTGGGCAAAAAGGTAGAGTTGGAGCACAAGGGCTAACTCAATAATCCCTATCAAAAAACATTTATAGTACCTACTACCATTATTTCTACTTTACACAAGAGAGAAGAACCAAGGTAGAGTGTAAGTAACTTACTCAAAGTCACATGGCTAATAAATGGGAAAAGGATTTTAGCACAAGCAGTCTGTCTCTTACTCACCAACCCATACTGCCTTTCTGTTGGACATCTTCACTGAGAGGTACTCCAAGCAACCAAGGTCTAGAACAATTCACAACACAATTGCCTCAACAGACAATGCCTGTAATAGTCCTGTTACTATCACCAAAAATACTCTTTCACAAACTTGCCTAAAATAATCCTAGTAGACAGAGCTAAATAAGTCCAAGAGGTATTTGAAGTATTTACTTCAACCAAATAAGAATAGATACCTGCAACAGATTGGCTACTCTGGATTGTTGGTAATATAAAAACAGATTCATACTATCAACAACTATATAACCAATATAAAACAGTGTTCATCTCTGCGAACTGCTATCAAAAAATCAAATACAAGCTTTTGAAGAAAAAACAGCACTTTACTGGGCAAAAAACAAGCAAACAAAAAAGTTATTATTGTTTACTGTAACTTGAATAAAAATATCACTATCATAGAAGTTTTAACAACATGAAGTTTCTTTGAAATACATAATTTATCTAATTCTCACTAGTTGTATACTGAATACAATTAAATAATCTACATGTGAGAATCATAATTGTACTGCTGTAATCCAAAGTAACCAATGGCTACGTCTTGCAATTGTGATTGAAAATATTAATCTAACAGTAGAGGAAAAACAGAAACAAAACAAACCTCTAGCAGCATATAAAAAACAAATATAGAGAGATGAATAACATAAGTCTTTCTGATATCTGGTGAAATACTGAATCAGAGTTTCCAAATTCTCAACATCCCCCCTCATCCCTAACTCTATATATGACTTCACTCTAAAGACTATCAAGCAATGAAGAGAGCAAACCTTTCACTAGGAAAATTACTCAAATCAGTTTCACAACCTAATTGCTACCAATGATAAAGAATCTCATCTTTAAATCTTACTGACCTTCAAAGCACTAAAATGATAACTAGAACAGTCTCTGCACACAGAAAAGTCATAATAAATGCTTAATAAGCAAACACACAACCCACACCACTCTAGTTTTGAAACTAGGTAGCAAACAAAGCAAACCAGCCAAAGTTAAGTTAATGATGAATTAATTCCCAGAAATAGGTGAGTTAACTAAAAATAATTTTTTGCTTTTGAAAAAAAAATATGGTTGTAGGATATTATGCATATATTATATTTAGCCAGATTATTTCTAAAACTGGCAAGGATACAATTATTAGAAATTAAATGACATACAACCTCAACTCTGGGGATTGATAAGACATCTATAAGAATTTCTTATAAAATGTAATTTTCAGCATTGATTTTGTTACTCTATTTCCTCCTCAGCCCACCATAAAAACCAATTAGGAAGATTTTCACAAATTCAAAAAGGTTGAAATGTCATCTACTATATGCAGACCTTGAGAAGGGTGCTTTTACCTGATCCTCGTACTATAAATGGATAACCAAAGATTTCTTAAGGCCCTCACTACCCCTTTTCTACTATTAAGAGCTAAGATTTTATTTACCACATACAGATAAAGTGACAAGGTATATTTGCAAATGACAAGTACTATTGCATGGGAGAATTTTTTTTTTAATTTCATGGAAAGCAGCCCAGGGTTTCCCAGGGAGCTTTGTGTCTGACCTCTTAGCTTATTATATACTCTATACTCCCTAGGTGATCTCATTTACTCCCTTACTTTGAATTACCCCCAATGCTGACAATACTAAACCTCTAAATCTCATCCAGATCTCTGCTAAACTTCCAATTCATAATTTCTTGTCCTGCTAAATATATCTACCTGAATGCCTTGAAAGCACCCCAAAGTCAGCTTATTCAAAACCAAATTCATTACCTTTTCTCACAAAACCTTTTATCCATCTCTATCTCGAATTACAGGAACACTACACATCCACCTTGCCTAAATCCAAAGCCTTCCCTCTCCTCCTTAACCTTCATATCAAACACTAAGCTATTAATAGTTCATTCGCCAACATAAATTCTGAATCTAGCCTTTCTCCCTCTCCTTTGCCATTACCTTACCTAAAGGTGCCATTATCTCCCCCCCCCAGGCTAGAAAAGAAAGACCTACTTTAGCACCCTATACCTCTACACCCACATTTCCAATTGCTCCCTTATTGGTTTGCCAAAGCACTTGAAATTAATCATATCCAGAATCAAACCCTTCATTTATCTCAACCTTTACCATCCCAGGGGAAAAGTTTGCTTTTTCTCTGTGTTCTCTAATTTATTTAATAATAATCCTCATTTATCAAAAACCTCAGTTAAAATCTAACCATGTGAATGATATTTGTACACCAATTTTCATAGCAGCCTTATTCACAATAGCTAAAAGATAAAACAACCCAAATGTCCAAGGTAGGTAAATGGATAAACAAAACGTGGCATTATACATATAATGAAATATTGTTCAGCCTTTAAAAGGAAGGATATTCTAAAACATGCTACAATATGGATGAACCTAAGACACATTACACCTAAGTGAAATCAGCCAGACACAAAAGGACCCATGTGTATAACTCCACCTATATGAGGTACCTAGAATAATCAAATTCAGAGATAGAATGTAGATAGCGGTTCCCAGAGGCTGAGGGGTAGGAGGAATCATGAGTTACTGTTTAGTGGTACAGAGTTTCAGTCTGGGATGATGAAAACATTCTGGGGAAAGACTGTTGTGATGGTGGCACAATATAAATGCACTTAATGCCACTAAATTGTATACTTTAAAGTGGTAAAAATGGTAAATTCTGTTACCACAATTTAAAAACTTTTTTTAAATTTAAAAACCTAACTGAATCTCAAGTTGCTGGTATAGACACACAGAAAAAATAAATATTCCAAGTGATTTAAGAACACAGCGTTTTGACTACTTAGCCTTAGTCAGATACACAATAAGGAAAACAAAACTAATAAAAAAAAGTAAAATTCATTCAGTAATCTTATTGACAGTTATATTAATATAGTTATTTTAAAGCTGTTTAATGTATATTTTTAGGAAAAATAATTATGTTCATGCTCCAAGAAATTCAGTATAAAAAAAGATAAATACAAAATCAAAAAAGTAAAAACCATTTTATCATCTTAAATTTGAACTCACGTTTTGCTTGCTTTTTAAATATATATATATATGTATGTATATATTATACACGCACATATATATATTTTTTACCATATTTCCCTATGTATAAGACGCACCCTTTTTTGAAAAATTTGGGGTCTGAAAACTGGGTGCGTCTTATACAGTGGTTGTATGAGCGCGAAAAAAGCGGGAAATGCAAGTAAAAAAAATCTACAACCACTGTATAAGACGCACCCAGTTTTTAAGGGTGTGACTTATACATGGGGAAATACGGAGTGTATATATATATATATATATATATATATATATATATATATATAGAGAGAGAGAGAGAGAGAGAGAGAGAGAGAGAGAGAGACCACAATTTCTAGTAAGGACATAATAAAAGTGTCCACGTGAATTTAACTAACACACAATAGCTTTTATACATTAAAAAAGGATTAATGTAACTGCTCCAAGATTTACATCATTCTATTTTCCATCTTTTCTTTTTTAAGTTTTTAAGTTAAAAGAAACTGGAAGACTAAATGACAAACTGCCAATCTGGTTTTCAGAGTATTTGAGTAAAATCAAGATGTTTTTATTCATTGACAATACTCATTGGTGGAAAGAGTGTTGGAAAACCAGCACTCTCAAATATTGTTAGTGGAAGTGTAACTAAATACAAAAAAATGTACATACTCTCTGACTCACTGCTAGGAGATTACCCAGGGGACAAACTTACAAAAGTACCACCTATTTACATGTAGGAGCATGTTTACTGCAGTATTGTTTATAATAAAAAAAACTGGAAACAAACTAAATGTCCTTCAATAGGGGACTAGTTAAATTTTATAATCTATACAATAGAATATAAGGTAGTTACTGAAAATAAACCCTAAGAGGAAGTTCTAAAACTGCTGATTCTTATAAGATCTCCAAACTATATAAAGTGAAAAAAATTCAAATTTACATGAAGAATGATCATATTTGTATGTTAATGTATACAGGTATCAAAAAATTGTGGAAAAATATAAAAGAAGCTATTAGAAATATTTATTG